TCTAAGAGAAATGAGGCTTCAGAAAAAAAGTAGTAAAAGAAGGGTTGAAAGAGATTACGACTACAGAAGTGGCAAGGAAGGTATATTTGGACGAGTTGTTAGTTGTGCGCAATTGCGCAAAACAGGATACAATAAGACAAAAAAGACGAATAACGCCTCCCATTGTTCCCGTGGGTCACGACTTATTGCTGAGATTTGCAACATGTGTGCTCCAATGTGAATGGTGCAGCCTCTTCCAGGCCTTTGAAGCAGGGCCACCTCTGGGTGTGGTATACAGTGGTCACAGTCCTTGAGCCGTTATTACGCCCTACGGGGTTCGTTTCTCGATCTTGCAGTTAGACTTATGGCATATTTGGGAACTACAGGGCATCTTAGGGTGATCTCTCCTACACCATTTTTTCCTTAGCTCTCAATTTTAGCTTCGCAACGTTTCGGCACTTTTGATATCACCGGCCCATGTGTTACCGACCGGGCAAGTCGACCTAATAGCTTACAACTTAATAAATGAATCTACACTAAGATTTCTAAATGTGTTCAAGAGAAGAGAGCCAGCGAAGAGAAACATCTAGCGAAACAACAACAGAGAAGGTAAGAATCATGGAGAATAGTTGTCAAAGGCAGTAATTCATAGTGTAATATTAAACTTTCCAGTAAAATTAATGCAGTCTAAGGAGAGTAACAGCAACAGTCATAAGGAGAATTCAGCCCTGGTCATTAGAAATGGACAGCAACAACATATACTGACGTCACTGAAGCTTTCGAAAGCCCACGACGCCGGTTTTTGCATAATCAAGTAGGTTCTCTCCGAACTTACTCGTTTGAAGCGGCACAATTTCCTCCTTTTACAGTTGATTGGGTTTGTTAGTTAGAGAATCAATCAGGGGCAGTAAAGGTGTGGCCTGGTCATTTGCATAGTGCTTCCTCAGTGGGTAAGATGAAAGCAACTACTGAATGACGAGGTTCTAAGGAATAACACCCAGACGGATGTAAGAGGAAGAGTAATCCAGGGACATTTCAGTGAACAGGAATGCTTTAGTTTCCGGTTCTAAACAAGAGAATCAAAAGAATCCCCTTTACTTCTAACAAAATGCAATGGTTTTTGTAGCATTGATCGACTGCACACCACATTTGTTGGACTAAAACATTCCACAGCAACCGGTCCTGATGGGAAGTACACATTCACGAAAGGCGTAAGACATTACAAAAAGGCTTATGGTCTAATACAGTCGACACGAAGGCACCAGTAGCCCGGTCCAGTCATTGCGACTGTAGGCCATATGTCACAAGGTATTCGTTCATTCATCAATAGAACAGTCCCGCCGAACAGTAAGGAAATTTGAGATCGCTGTTTGTCACCATCAATTGTTTGGTATTCCTATACGGG